CACTGCTGGTATTTTACATCCAATGAGAATCGGTGTTACTAACTGGCTTTAGTACATTGTTCACTCCCTTGATTCTTGCAGTGATTTATAAATCCTTTGTTGAGATTCAAACCTTGTATTCAATAAAGAGCTCATTTCATATCTGACCAACCCGTGAAGTGGCTCCCTCCCGGGCAGCTAGAAAAAAAAAGTTGCTTTAAGGTTGGCCAAAAGGGCCTTAAACATAGTGAAGCTGTAAGAGCGAAACCATCTCCATGGCGAGTGTTTGAAAGATGTCTCACCAAATAACTTATAAAACGTTCCTCAAACAATTAAGGGATCGCCCATTTGGAAGAGCCTATGGGGAGCAGGAATCTCCCCCTCAAATCCAGCTGTGTGCTCACAGCAATCTGAAGTTAAACTGTGGCTCTCTCTCATTTTTGGTTTCTATGGATTTGAGGATGCCTGAAAAACTGGATTTTGAGGGGGAAAAACCACTCACATGAAATATCTTTTGTTGGAACGAACACAGGAGGAACTTGAAGTACCTACAAGTATTAAAAGCATTGGATTTCTCCGTGAGATAATCTCTAATGAGTATTTCAGGTGAATTCTTTATTTCTTAATGTGCTTTATTAGGCAATTACGTTTTTAATAGGTCCAACTTTCCTTTTTCTTTAAAAGTCAGTCTTGATACTTTCTTGGCTGAACGTTACCATCTTCCTCACCCATAGGTAGGAGGGCTGTGTGTGTATAAAGTACAGATAATTATCCAAAATAGAGAATTTTTACCTTCCAGTTTTTATATAGAAAATGCTGTTAAAGTATACATAGTCCATTTTTAGGTAAAGTTTAATTTCGAAAGCGGATTTCAGGTTTTAGTATTTTTTTCCCCTTTGAAATGTCATGCTTTCAGAATGTCTTCAGACTAATGATCAGTCTTGATTTTTAATCCCCAAGGTCCTTTTCTTACCATTTCCCTCGTTGCGGTTTAACTCCTGATAAAAATAGTGAGATGAGTAGAATGTATTTTTTTAAAAACACAGTCAGTCTCCTACATCTTGTTTGCCACCGAAACCGGGACACAACCGTGAACAGCACGCTGCTGGGGGCAAAACTCACCTTTTATTTCAGACGGCCAAAACTTCATTCC